AAAGAGAAACTTTTCATAAAAAAAAAGGGGGATGATCGAGTAGATCAACTTGTAAAAATACCGGGTTGAAAATACTCGACAATTTGTTTGATTATTTCATTCACTTCAATATATATATATATATATATGTGTGTGTGTAAATGTTATTATTAAAATAAAATATGGAAAACGTAAACATTTTCATTTCGGGAGTAAGTTTCTTAGAAAAACCGCACCCTACGGGAGATTTGATTTCTTTTACCTGGTAGCAATGCTGAAACTCAAACTTTCTTCTTCATTGTCAAATAGAAAATGGTTGGATGCTTTTCAATGATTTCGTCATGCCTAACCATCAACTTGCATTATTGGTTGTAAACGACGTTTTTTTACTATTCAAAATGTTACCGCTGTGAAGGTCAAACTTGACCTGAACCACAATGAATACACATATATATATATATAAATATAAGATTCTTTCAGTTAGTCAATATGATGTTGAATTATTTGGCAGACTAGACGTCGTATATTTCTATTTTATTTGATTATTTTAAAATATCATCCCCCCTCCCCCGCCTTTTATGAAACGTTAGCATGTGTCGGACAATTTACTTGTAAATCCTACGAATAATCCCATTTAAGGCGGCAACTATCAATAATATATAGTGAAAAGTATCTACCCTAGTAATAGGGTATTACTTAAGTATGATAAATCATGTGCGTTTGAAATGTGTTATTAAATAAACGTTAAATCGTTTTGACACTTGTCAAAAATTCTAAATAGAAAAATATTCATTTGTTCTTAATACAAATACAAATAATATAATACTTTTAGAAGTGTATTATATAAATATTATTATTAATATTTAATTAAATTAAATAATATATTATTAATTTAATATAAAACAATATATAAATATTAATATAATTTGTTAAATTATTTAAATTTTTTTAAGAAAATAAAATACATTTCAGAGTATTATATAAATATTATAATTCAAAGGATGCCCCATCGTACGTTGCTGTGGCTCACAATCAATCCAATACACACGTCTCTTTAAGTCAACGAATTACCTTATACCGCCATCTGTTATAAACTAAGAGATATAAACTATCCTATCTTTCAAGTTGAATAAAACTGCACAAAGTGTGGAAAATTTGATTAAAATCGGTCTAGTAGTTTAGGAACTCATTGCGGACAAACAACGTAACACGTAATTTTTATATATATATTAAGAAGATTAAGTTAATTATTTGAAACAATATTGGATATTTGTCAGAATTTGTTTAAAAATATATCTCAATAATTATTTAAACTTGTAAAAAAAAATACAAGTGCAATGAAGTAAGGAAGGAAGGATAGAAGCAAGCAAGTAAAGAAAGTTATTCTCCATCGGATTCAACATGTTCACGGTTTCTTTCTTATTCTGTCCTAATTCGAGAAAACGACTGCCGTAAAACGAATCAGAGGGGGATCATGCCTTGAAATTTCTTCACCGGATTACCCTCTGGACGATCGTTCTTCCACCTCCTCCTCCTTCTTCCTTCCTCTTTCCTTCTACCGTAACCTGAATGAAGAAGGGATGAAAAAGGGATGGAAAATTTCGGAGTACCAACCTGCCAAGAAATCTCACTCCTACTCCTACTCCTCCACCACCACCTTTTCTACGAACGCGATTGCTTTCCAGTTATCAAATTCTTATCGAATTTTACCTGCAATAAATTTCATAGTATTAGAACAATCTAAAAAAAAAAAAAAAAAAAGATTATAACAAAATATAATAGAAAAAAAAAAAACCATCCAAGATTGAATTATATATAAATAAATAATGTAATAACAATTTATTAATAATATAATAAATCTGTAACATGTTGAGCGCCATGCGAATTCTTAGAGAAATTCTCGTCAGGCCACGGGGGTTACTTTGTATTTGAAAGCGTATGAAAATGTCAGTCATTTGTGACTGACGTGGCCCAAACGTAAAGTTTAGTGTCAGGCATCGATGACTGACGTGGCGCTCAACGTGTTAAATTCAAAGTAAAATTAAAAAATAAAACAAATTTGATTATCTTGGATGTTTTTTTTTTTTTTTTTTTTATTTTGTTTCGTTATTCGTACTGCAATAAAGGAATAACTATTTAGAGATAGAATTTAAACAAGGGTTGCAGTTCTTTTATCACTGTTGACTATACACACACCTTCCATTGTTTTTAAGGGCGTCGTTCGAAGGTTTACGACTGCGCAAGAAGATGAGCTCAACCTATGTGTAGACTGCATATATTTTCATCCTTTTCGTTGTCCCTTCACGATGAGTTATTTCCTAAAACATACGAAACACTTAATGTAATATTTCTAGGAGTCTACGAAAAGTTCAGTCAATGACACGAATCCTACGAAAAAAAAATTTGTTCAACTTATGAGTCTATAAAAAGTTCAGTCAATGATGCGAATGTAAGAAAACAAATTTTTCAATTTATGAAAATCAATGAGCTACGAAAAAATTAGTCAATGCACGAGTCTACGAAAAGTTCAGTCAATGACACGAATGCACGAAAAAAATTTTTTCAATTTTTGAAAATCAATGAACTCGCAGAAATTAGTCAATGCATGAGTCTACGGAAAAGTTCAGTCAATGCTCATTGATATTAACTAGTACCGTTAGATGGCAGCACATAGTTTACTGTCGGTAACATGAAGTAATAGCTAGTACCGCTAGATGGCGGTACATAGTGTACAGTCGGTAATAAAACACTTGACTGAACTTTTCGTAGACTCGTGCATTGACTAATTTCTTCGTAGTTCATTGATTTTCGAAAATTAAAAAAAAATTTTTCTTGCATTCGTGTCATTGA